GGATTAAAGAACTGCATAAAAATAGTAAATTATTACAGTATTTATAATATGAAATTGGATATAAAGTAGTGAAATCATTAAAAGAAAAATCTATAAATACAGTTACATGAAATTCGACTGCTAAAAAGATTAAATGGAATTAAACTATACAGGAGGCTGTTAACTGTATTTATACACAGTTATACACAGGAACGCACATCACGTTAGACACAGAACGCGCATCGCGTATGAAACAAAATGGCTTCTAAATTCTCAATGTCGCAACTCTTTCTATCTATGGCTCTGACAGAGATCAATGTGATACGCCCTCATTTGACGACAAGACGAGCTCCCAAGGAGATACTTTTTATAAATAAATCAAGATATACATATATATTTATATGTATATATATATAATATATATATATATTATATACATATTCACATATATATTCACGTATATATATATAAATAAAGCAAGATATACATATATATATATGAATATATATGTGAATATGTATATATAATCTATATTATATATATACATATACATATATATGTATATCTTGATTTATATATATATATATATATATATATATATATATATATGATTGATTGATTGAAAGCCGTTCATTGTCTCTGTAAGTGTTCGAACACTGTATAATAATTTATATAACTTACACTCTTAGGATTAAATTATAATGTGGGATCAACCTACCAGTCGAGCTGAGAGTCAACACTGTCTTTATCGTACACGTTTCTTTTTTGTATAGTACCTGTACTTTACGGTCGTTCGCCTTTATACATGATCTCGTTAACACATGTACCTGGATTGTGGCTTCGACACGCGAGATCGTTTATTTGATGAGCTATTACAGCTGTTTGCGCTCATCCTCTCACCTTTCTTTCTAAATAGTAGGCCTACTCCGCCACTGGCATTCAAAAATAGTTCTATATGTGTAGCATTGTATCATACATGAAAACTGCAGTGTGTCGTATTACTTCCAAACTGTGAATATTATATTGAGACAGATCATAGCAACTCAGGTACGTATAGTCTATGTTTTATAGCTTTGTAAAATTTCGTATTAATTAATTACTAATATAATGTAGATGTTGAAATGAATGTATTATTATGACGTCAGTTTATGGCCAGTAAGCATTGTAACTGAACCAATGTCCATTTTGATGAAAAGTGCTGCACGATAGGTCTACTAATTCTTCATATTGTTACATGTGAAAAGAAATCAATTAACCCCCTCATAGTTTTGTACTAGGGCGGTCTTTTTCGTATGATGATTCGTTCAAGTTAAGGATGAAGTGTGAAATGATTCAAGACCTATAGTCTTATTAAAATGTTAAAGACCGAACTGTCTTAGGCTTAAGTTTAAGCAGTGAGGATGAAGACGAGGAACTGGTTTCCTCCCAACGCATAAATTCCGGTCCTATATTTGCTTGCATAGACCCTTCCCATTGATGAATTTAGGCCTCTAGTGTTAACTTCTATGTCCCGCTCTGAAACTTGGTTGTTTATAAATACTGACGTTATTATTATTATTATTATTATTTGTTTTATTATTATTATTATTATTATTATTATTATTATTATTATTATTATTATTATTATTATTATCAGTATAATAATGATAATATTAGTATTAGTATTATTATTATTATGATTATTATTATTATATAATTAAAATTTCATAATTTTATTATTATTATTATCAACTATATCAAGTATATGAAATTATTATACAATTCTTTAATTGAGATTTTAGATTGTTACAATATCGACAAAGAACTTGACAGCGTTGTATACATTGTACGTGCATGCACTATCAACTATCCTAAAAGGTACGTAGCCTAGTGCACCAATTTTAACAGAGTACCATGTAGACTTAATTTTAACATAGCATCAAATATTGTGAGGTGTTTTATGGTAAATCTGTACGAGCAACACTAGATTCAATCGGCGGATCTCTTTAATTACCAAGATTAGGTATGCATGCGGCGACCACAGAACGCCAAAAGTATATGAACAAAATGCAAACATAAAGGCTAACATACAGATACACAAAAGGAACAATCGTTTTAATAACCCCATGGGATTACCAAGATGAGAAATAAATATGTTGAAAACAGCACTTTACAGATATACAAAATACGATATATTAAAACATCCACAAGCTATCGTCGTTCGACTGTTCATGTATATCATAATTATTGCTATATACATGTGTGATAAACCTATATACATATATAACACTACATACACTGTAAATTGTAAGGAAGAGGAATCTACGAGAGGGAAAATGTAACCAAACCTGGATTCGAACCTGAACCTCGAAGTGTTTTTTTTTTGTGATTATTTAACACACGAGTGTGGCGGTTGATTAATAAAATACAGTGTAAGTGTATTATGGTATACAGTATACAACCATGATGTCAAGTAATGAAAGTCATTCAAGCCATTTATCGGTATTAACCTTACTGCTTTAGTCTCACAGCGAAGGATTTTATTTATGATATTAATATATTTTGTGTCAATTGAGTCTTCCTTATGTCCTTAAAATGACTATAACAATGATGTCTAGAGAGCTAAAGGCCTATTGTAAGTTGCATGCATTGATGAAAATATAGTTTCTTATCAAGTGATAGGCCTATAATCGAATCGCATCGTTGGGTAGCCATATTTACCAGCCTATGGTCCATTTGAGTACCAGAATCAGGCTTAATTCTGTCATTAGGGATTCTATGAGTCCTTTCGTATACGTTTGTTTATTTATTTATTTATTTATTTAAAACCATATTTTGAGTGGTTGACCCTTACAGAATAAATCTGATGTTCAGGGGCCCAATTAAATACAATAATATAAAAAGTATGTAAAAATATAGCCAATCTATCAATTTAGTCATAAAATTTAAAACAGCAACCATTAAAATACTTTTTAAAAAAAAGGAAATAACAAAAAGAGAGCAAAAGAAAGAAAACAGACAAAGTAAAAACAAACACACACACACACACACACACAAATACACACCTACCCACAAACGCACACAGGAAAAAAAATATAAATCCTTGTTTAAAATGTGTTGCTTAATGTGCTTTTTTGGTGTTGTATGCCTGGCTGAACGTGTTGACAAAAACATGTGACATGCCTAAACATGACCATATAGCCCTGGTTCTTATAATTTAATAGAAGGGCCAAGTTATTTTGATCTCACGGGCCAAAGAAAATCGGATTTAATTCTAGATATGAGTGGGGTTCCCTCCTACTTCAAAATGGCCCAATGTTGCGTTCTTCATTTTAATGAACAAAATATTCATCAATGAAACATTATTTTTAGTTTCTTTAATATCCTCTTATCCAGGGATATATACATCATGACTAATATGGGCACTGACAACAGTTTTTGTCAAAGAAAATATGATAATCTGGACAGGTCTTTACGTGCCTGTATACACATTTGAAAAAGTAGGTCTGATGCCACTATTGATCATATAGAGTTTATTTTGTGATCCTTATCAACTTCACTATCGTCATACGGTGTGCGATATTCCCTTAAGGCACTATTCACCTTCGAGAAAACAAATTCATAACTGACAATGTATAGGACTATACCAACCATTACGTCCACGACTAACTGACAACCCTCTCAGATGTGTCTGATTGGCTGCTGAGGGGAGGGTGTTTATGGTCACCCAGCAGTAAGAAAAATCAATAGCTGAACAATTATTATTATTATTATTATTATTATTATTATTATTATATATAGGCCCTATAATTATATATATAATGTAAAGGTATCGTAACAAATATGGGCATACTATATATATATACATATATATATATATGTACATACATATATATATGTACTGTACATATATATGTACATTTGTGTTCTTAGCAGAAACTTGACAATATATATATAT